TGTTTGAATTCTAGACTATCGCTCATGAATAGTGATTACTTTTTGTGAATAATATACCTGAAATTTTAGAAATACATTTAGGCTACATATCATCTATAAATTCATTTAAAAAAAATACCCTTCATAAAAAAATAAATTTTTCTTTCTTTTTCTCTTGTGGAAATATCAATCCTTATTTCCTATTACTTTGTAATAGTTCTTATTTGAAAAACATTCATCAACTCCATAAATTATTAATACTCAAGTACAAGCTATAATCAAATACCCCTATTTAAATCCTAGTAAAGGGAGACCCCTGTTTCATTTGTGCTCATAAACAATATTACCTGTGCCATATGTCAACCTTGTCGGACGCCGTTTTCTTTACTCGCAAACATTGTATAGGCCAATCTTCACTGTTATTGTTAAATTGTTCTTATCTGGCGAACCCCCACTTCAAAATGCATAAAAGAGAATCTTTCAACAACTGCATCACACATGTCCACTACAAAAGCTTTATGAACTTGTTAATTTTCTTTTTGAGCATTATAGTTACCCGACAAGGAAATGAAGGAAAATTTATGATAAAAACTTTCGGTTTTTTGTTACAAAGCAAGTGTTCTATTTGGTTTTTCTTTTCAAGCACAGTGATACCAAACGTCGTTATGAATAAAAAGCTAAAAATATTAAATTTTGTTGTTTAATTTGAAAACATAGCTAACTTGAAATTAAACACAAATTCAACTGAAAAATAAATTTTATATTTTATGTCTGATAACATTGTAGGTAGGGTGGTTTGTTTAGGACATGTTGAATCATTATAGGGGCTTTTTAGATATACATGTATATCACACCCACTTAATTAAATATAATATTCTATAATTTGGTTATTTTGAAAAAGATTGAAAAATAATGATTTAAGGTAACGACAAATATACATTTTACTACAATTTGAAGACTATATCATTTGTCAAGAAATTTAATTTCTGTATAAAAAAGTTAGAAAAAGAAAATTCAAAGATATTGTGATGTGATTTCATTGAACATTGTGTTGCTCTTGAAGTTGAGAATTTTTTACGTATTTTTTTTTAAATCTGATATGTCACGTACAACAGTTTCAAGTATATGAACTCCCCAATAGGTAATAATGTAGCTGATGTATATACTGTAGGAAATAACTTGAATATTTATATGGCGGCCAATGTATCAATAATTTTCATATCAAAATGATTTTATTTCAAATACTATTACTTATAACTATGATATTTCTACTAAAAATGTTACATTAGTCTTAACATTTATATGATTTATATTAAAAAATCATAATTCTACCCCAAATTACTTAAAAAATGTAGAATCGTTGATAAAATTGCCATATACATTAAAATTTATTTTTTTACAGTATTCTGTTAGAAATTAGAAATCCAAATTTTTGTTTCTCTATTATAATTCTTCGAAAAATATGTTTTTAGGTCAAAACTATTTGAAAGAAATATTTGCAATTCACGGCTCAACAAATTTCATTAACACTTGTTCAACTCACTGAAAGATATGGACTTAATTCACATCATTGTTTCACCCCAGTGTAGTTTACCTTTATTTTATTGACTGACCACACAACAGGGGCACAAAGGTCTTCGAATTTCAAATTTCGACAGTTTGGCAAACAAAGGGGGACAAAATAAGCACGTTGTACTCGACACGCGACTTGACACGTGCCCACGTACCCATGCTAAACCCCTTGTTGGAGCAAATCAATTATTGAAAAGGTTCATTGAGAGGTTCAGCCAACTGTGCAGTAGTAATTTCTATTATAATGTCTGAACAATTAACTGATAACGATCTATATTGTTTTGCACTTATTCTATAGTTATATTTACCATATATACTTACCTTATCAACGCCATCTTGTAATAAAATTCAAAATTTCTCCAAGTTCTCAGATATTTTATCCTATGTGTGAAACCAAACAAATTATGTCTTATAATTTATGCAAATGCGGTTTAAATACTTGGACGTCTTACATCGACATAATTTCATACTTACTTGTCAATTTACAAAGGAGGTATTTCCTCTTTGAAGTCAACGTTGTGAATGTGTAGGTTGCGTATTGAGATGGTCAGGCCTTGCACATTTCATAATTTCGTTCTTTTTGGTAGATAAATAAAACGTAAAAAATAGTGATATCTTGGTATCAAGAATGTGACTTGAGAGAGATTTTTTCAGTTGTTATTTGAACAGAATATTTTCTAAAACCGTGTGATGTATTATGATTAACGCTGTATGATGTGTAAAACAAGAAATTAAACATAACCACAGGTTTACTAAAATTTTATGAAATATGAACGGTATTCTTGACAATTTGACGCCATAATCCTATAGTAGATGAGAATATCTTTTGTCTGGATTTTACCTCTTCCCAACGCCACATGCCAAACTATTAAGGGCTTATAATAATCATAAGAGGTGGAAATTGGTCCCTTTTGAGACCGAGTGAAAATACTATATCATAAAGAAACTTGACCCTCGTATCACCTGGCCAGTGACAGGTGGTGTCCTGTTTGTGGTCACTTCTCAATTACCTGACACACGCGACCACGTCCCCCTTTTCTATTCAATGTATCTGATGCGTTAAACATGTATTTCTGATAATTAATTTACCCTTTTTCTGACCCCTATTCATTGCCAGCCCTTGTTGAATGTGGCTAACTCCCCATTAAGATTATTTGATCATCTATATTTTATAAAATTAAATAATGTTTTCTTTAATAATAATCGTATGCAATTCAAGTGGAAAAGTCATCATCTCTGAAACTTTTTTTTTAGAATATCAGTAAACAAACGATCAATGAGTGATTGGAATCTCGATAATGAAACAAACAATCTTTCAACTTGACTAACAAAACCGTGTAAAATACTTTGAAGATAAAACTTTTATTATTTATGTACATCTGAATATGTTCTAAATAGCCCACTAATTATATCATAAGAGATAGAAACAATATAAAACATCTCCGGTTCCAAAATTGATGTATAAAACACATCCTAGTGGAAGGTTAAATACTCTAATTGTCATAAAATTATTATATAATTTCAAGTAATTTACTGTCAAAGATAAAATTAAGAAAAATTGGTATATGTTATTTTGTGTAATCTCAAACTAGGGTTTAAATAACATATAATTCATATAAATTTTATACAAGCAATTAATCAGTAGTTTATAGAATTTCGTAACAAATCACTTGTATAACTTTTAAATCAGTTCATATAACTTTGTAAAAATGTAATTGTTTAGCTTGGAACCATTAGTTTATATAAACTAAAAACTTTAAAAAAGTTATTTATATATTTTTGATCAAATCCATCAGTGTTTTACTTTCATACCCCCAAATAGTACAACTTTGATACAAGGTACATGTATTCGTAAACATTTTAAATTACTATTTCATAGTATTGTGAAGCAAGTTATTTGCAGATCTTTAATGCAAGCAATTCATTTAATTTGTGTAACTTCGAAACGATATTTTGGGGTATTTTGTCAGGTGATAATATTCACACACAAAAATAATATAAACTAGAACAGGAAATGAGTCTTTTAAAAATCATCAACGTCTTTTGGTCAAACACAAAGGAAAAAACGAAAAATAATCAAATAAGAAATAAATGAATTTGATAAATTTAACTGAAATATCCAGGAAATGAGCATTGTAAATCTTAGAGAGACAAAAATAAGGGTAATGTTTTCTTCTAATAGCATCATTCGTAAATTATTTTTCGGGGAGAAAACATTTTTCATAATTTTTAAATAATATTTAGGAATATTCGATAGCCATATGTCATATTTTTATATTGCCCCCCTGAATATTTTGAATACCTTATTATGACATTTATAATGACCTTAATAAAAGCACTTTTAATGTATTGGTCCCTTGTTTGGATATTTTCTTTGAACTTATTTTATATTATGACAAAAAAATAAAATTAAGTGACTCCGCGTACTTCAAAAAGGTTTCAAAACGTAGAAAGGGGTCTTTTAAAAATGTCAATTCCACGATAAAAGTTTTTTGTTATTTTCAATTCTGTTTGACACCCTCTCGAAAGCAGCAACAAAAAGAAATCGAATTGCCTACTTGACCCTCACCGGTGAACGGGAAAATATTTTGTCCGGGTAACAGAAGGGGGCATCTGTGCTTTGTTTTCTTTATTCGAAAAGAGAAGAGGCTCTCATAAACTGTCGTAATAAAGGATTTGAACTACGTATGGTTCTTACATGTTAACCATTTTGAAGGTTTGAGGCACACCCGTAGAAACGCCACGGGTGGTACTACCAACATTGAAGTCTAGCCTACAATAACTGCATAAACAAATTATATCAGGAGTATATAGCCATGAGTTTTGCTAAAAAAAAATCCACGAAAAAATATAATTTATTTCACACTATGATTTGATCATCTATATTTTAAAATAACTATAGCGCCTATCATTATATGGGTATAAATTCAAATTGTTATATATCATGACATATTCTATACGTCTTATACAGAATACCAATTTTCCATCTTGCAGAAATTCAATATTTATCAAAGAATGGTTCATTGAAGCTTTTTTTTCTTCTCAAGCCCTTGGGAGAGATTGTGCTAGCCAACAATGCGATTTAGTAGTAGCCACTCCCATTTTATCTGCCGAGTGAAGGCAAGGGTAAAAATAAATATCCGTGGCTTTCAATATTGTCAATACACAAAGCCAGTAAACCTCGGATCCACAACATAAAGCAAACATCTAAAGTAACGAGACTGGAATCTCAAATCGATAGCGGCCATTATCAATCACACGGTGACAATCGGCAGCCATCCTAAATTAATAATTCACCTGAGACAGGTACAACATTACTCTGGATAATAGAGTCACAAATCGATGTAGTCTTAATCTTCCAGGGAGTATGTATTGCGAAATAGCCTATCGGTTGAAAATTTTGCAAGTTAGCTGAACTAAGAGATAGGCGTAACACATTAGAACTAGAATCAGGTACAATCAGTACAATACAAAGTCATATCACGAAATGGTAAATTAGCATCTCCCTAGTCCAATAATAATATCATAACAATATATAAAGGTTTGAGCAAGAAGAGAGGCGGCTTGTATAGTAAATACAGTTAGATCGTTATTTATCTTAAACCTTAGATTTCGAAACCAACTGCAAAATGCCGAAAATGTAAAAAATAAGCACTCTCTAACACCCCACCCCTACCTAGTATCAAAAAAACCCACAGTCGATAAATTACAATTTAAGCTACATTAAATAAAAAGTGACCAATCGACTTTTAATTAACACAAGCGATGCTTCAAGAATCAGCTTACTGCTTCGATGCTTACAAGGAATTCTTAATATACCTGTTATGTGAAATGATAATCGTAGATATAGGATCGATGCAATTCGAATATCCAGTCACTTATACCTGAATTTATGAAGAACGAGACAGTCATTGATCAATAGGTTATAATATATATTGAGCGAGGTACATTTTAACACGTAGAAGCTTACCTATTTATTTTCATTATATCTATGCATTCCATTTCGGCGAATCATAATAGGGAAGGTTTTTTTTTATAACAACATCGATTTTCTTTCACTACGTTCAAATTACACAAGTGACTAGTATTCAAAGACAAATAAAGGAGAATTCTGTTGAAATTGTAATTACATTACAATTTAGTTCCATTTTGAAACAGACTTTTAGCGATTTTGGAGTCAAGTCAACAAGTTATAGACAGTCTGTGTACATTTTAAGACACCTCGACAGAATATCATGTCTTTTCCGCATTGTAAACTTTAATATTTATGTACTTTGTAAATTAAGGTAAAAACTGGAAAGTTTAGCTTGTTGGTTGAAATTATAAAATGATACTTACGTCGTCTTGAGCAGAATAATCTGAAAAATATCCATAATTCTTCATATGATTCATATATGTTTGAGTAATAGATAAACTGAAGTCTATTAGCGGTGGGTCATCTGATATCGGTGGCAAACTGTGGGTTTTGAGAACCGGACTATCCTCTATTTGTTGTACTGCTGTTTTACTGTTATTGTTGTTCTCCATTGAAAGATGCATTCTTTTCTGACAATCTGAACAGGACATCAAAAATCTGGTAACTGCTTCTCGGGGCAGGAATGAGTATGTTTCAGCAATCTGGAAATATAAAGAGACGAAGACATTATGCACCCTGTCTTTGTCCTTTCAAAAAAAGTGACAAAATGTGCGACAAAGGGATCGTCTAAGTATTTTCATCAGCAATTGATAAAGATTAATGCTTAGTGCAGTTATACGAGCTAACAGTGGTCTGGAAGTGTGGCTAATATGAGTTCTACCAAGATAGAATTTAGTGTACACTTTGTACTTTTATATTTGAATATAGCCTTAAAAGGTAAGATCTAATCTGTATATGTCAATGGTCGAAAGCTTGTCAATAAGTCTAATAATGATCGCGGTACGACATCATTATTAGACGTATCGACATGCTTGAGACTACTAACCAACTTAAAATACAGTTCACAATTACATCTACTCAGGCACGTGCTGTAATATAGGTCACATGAGATCCAATCACATGCCTAACAATACAGACGATCTTTCAAAATGTCCGGTCGGGAAAATAAAAAAATATACCTGTTCGAGTTACATACTATTATTACTACTATTACTGTGTCGTTCATTTTATTATAAATGATATGGATATGGATTAGAAATAGATATTTTACTTATTTAATTTCGTCAATCTGTACTGTGACTCATGGATTACAATTTGAATATGTATGTCTACAGGTCAGTTTTTCCTTTTCCCTTATGGTTCATTCAAGTATTTCAGCATCGAAATACAAGATTCATGTCCAGTGGCGTAGTGAGCATTTCATTGACGGAGAGGGCATCCGAGGCCATCGCCTCCCCTTTCTGGATTTAATAAATTTATCTAATCTATAAATTTGTTATGGCCCTTAAGTATACCACTGTCATGGCATTTACGGCATCGTTTCGTGATTAACAGTTAGCATTGTTAAATTTTATAAGCAATTAGTGACAAGGATGACCGAGCTATTGGAATTGTTATTTCCCTCCTGGCTGTATCAAATTTGAAACATTTGTGTTGTTTATGAAGAGATATTGGTGCTTTATTTCTGACAAAATAAGAATAATATTCTAATGCTAAGAATAAATCTTAGATCAATTATTATAACTAGTGTTCACATACTATTTGAAGCCAAGTCAATCGTGAACACATTTATAAAACAGGTCACATTTACATGGCAAAAGACCAAGAGTATAATATTTAAAGTCCATTATTAATGTCAATATTGGACTCGTGGCCGTTTGCCAGTACCATTATGTTGGACCATGATGGATGTTGGATAATGGTACGCCGAGATCAAAGAGTGACGTCACATCTGTATTTTAATACACGATATTTTCGTGATGAATTGTAGAACAATCATATATCGAATATTTTTAGTCTGTTTATGTTACAATGGGTTAATAGTCAACTTTTAAATGTTGTAGTTAAAGGGAACTAACTCTTGTCTCTAAGTTTCTTTCCAGTCGGCAGGCAAAAGCCTCTCGGCAGCTCCAGATTCTGATTCGAGAGATTCTTCACAGGTATATTGTAGCGCGCTGTATGATACTCTTCGCCATAGTTTATCCTAATAAGTGAATATACTTATTATAGGCTTTGTAAGAAAAATCTTAAAAGACCTATACAGTGAACCACCTTTTTTACAGCTCAACATCACACTAAAAAAACAAACGATTACAGAGAGAAAGCTACTGGATGGACCAACTCCAAACAGTGGCTCCAAATGGACTTAACATCCAGCATGATAATCAAATGATTCCATTTGTTGCCACCTTTAATCATACAGCTGCCAAAACCTCATCCATCGGCAAACAGTATTACAGTGAATTACAGAACACATTTCCGAATGTATATACCAAACGACTTGTAATTGCCTATAAGCGCAATAAAAACCTTAGTAATTTTCTGGTCCGTGGTAGACTCGATCCCATTGAATCCAATAATACTTGACCGCCCTCTCTATTTTCTAGCTCATTAAGTATTATATATTCTAATCCTTATATATAGATGTTTATCTTTTCAGAACCTATTCATACTCTCTTCTTTTAGAACTGGTAACAAGAAAACTTTCATATTATAGATTTTTGTTTATTGTAGATTACTCGTGGGTGTTTTTTGAACTTAATACTAACTATGCTTACTTCACCTTATCTTGTATTGAACATTTATCTCTTTATTTGTGACCTTGGCCAGTGCTTTACATAGAAGTTTTTAGGAACTTCTTCACTCTTAACACTAAGCACATCTCGTCTTGGGCACATTATCTATTTATACCTGACACACGTAAATATAGATACCGTTGTATCTTTTTAATAGTCAATAATTATCTTGCTGAGATTTAAATTTTGTCGTTTTATCAATAAAACGTTTTCCATATAAAAATAAAAAGTCGTGAAACACTGTGTTGATCTTCTATACACGGTCATTAGTAATGTTTAATTACTGAAAGGTCAAGATCACTACTTTTTTCACGTGTAGAAGTAAGTTAAAATGCTGATTATGATTAGCCATACAGCACGAAATTTAGTAAATTAAATAAATCATACATAATCTATCACATTGTAAGAATAGACGTTATTTTTAAACTACATTCTACATTAACTATATTCCACTGGCTACAATAATCTTTGAGCACCCTTTTAAAGGAAAAGTTCAAAAACATCTTTTTGTTTCCGTGCACTTCAATTATACAATGAATATGATAACATTACATTAAATGTTGTCTGAGTGTTGTTTTGAAGAGTTGTTTCCCCTTTGCTGGATTTAAAATTATTGTAATTCTTTATAAATCAATAACAACTACGGGTTAAATTTAAAATATGGAAGTATCTCACTTATTTGTCTTTCAATCACGATTTTACAGAAAATCTTTTCGTGGGTGTCTCACTGGTTCGAAACATACTGACTCTCCTCTATCTTTTCATAACTAACGTATTATACAAACGTGCAACGTCTTTCTATATTGACCGTACTTTTATATTTCGCATCTCAGTCGGTTGTACTGAAAATTGAAGAATTTGAAATTTTCTACAAGCAGGGTTCCATAATCTAGTTAACAACTGCTAAAAAGCTGTATAGTGATCAGCAAATTTCGATACACAGTAGGACAATGCCATAATATACAATAAAGGGGAAAGATCCACATACACGAGATACATTGCAGTGGTAAGACTCTTATTCCCCTCCCACCATATTTTATAGACTGAAATTTGCAAAATAGATTTCTAATTCGTATCTGAGATACGTTTTCAGCCGTTGTAAGGTCAGTGATTTAAGAAACATGATTGGTTATGAGATATTCTTTCTATTTCAGTTACAATCTATATAAACTTATGCCTACCTATAACGAGTGTGACCAGCTTTTGTGTTATGACCAGCTATTACAAAGGTCGTAATCAAAAAGAATAAACTTTGTTGATAAACATAACATTAAAGAGCTGAATATTGTTATACAGCAAATCATGCTGAAATAAGCCATTTTTAGTGAGATATAATACTGCAATGGATATAGAATATACGAATACATTATATATTTATCTATATTATATCTGGTGTGCTGGACGGACATTAAAACACCGACGGGTGGTTTTCGCCTCATTAAACGTCATTTTAACCAATAAATTCACGGACCTGATTTGAAACTATAAATAGATGAACGCTATTTAAATCCAAGAAATTCTCTGATTAATTCTCAACGAAAGTCAGTAATAGGCCAGCAGTCTCATTCCTAAATACTGCATTTAAAATTCATTTCCCTTGGATAATTACGCACAGCATTCTCTCTCTTACACAAATTAAGTACGCTAGTACAAACTGGGTTTTACATTAGCCCAACTGAATGTATAATATAGCCAGAAATGAAGCTACATGGTGTAGTTGTTTCAGTCGAAATGAAAATCACATTTCACTCGATTTGACTCAACTGATTGCAGGTTACCAAAAGAACCACAAGGGAAATAATATTCCTAGGTTAAAATATCCCATGGCAACACGACTCGTTCCTGTAATTTTCTATAGCTTTGAGTAATCGGCAATCCAAGAAGTGTGTTAAGCGAGTGGGGCATTTCACTGGAATAATCTAAGATGCTATAATTACGTGAACTTTGTGTTGAGATTTCTGTTTAATTCATATCATCTTCTTTTTTACTTGATTACAAAACACACATTATAAACATACTGCGTACATACATGTGTCGGGGACAGACCGCAATGTACGAATGTTATGTAACATACATAATAATGTATATGAGGCATCTGTGCCCAATTCAGATAAGCGAATACAATGTGCACACATATTCAAATAATATACGTATTTTAGTACATATAATAATGTACAACTACTTTATGCGCATAATATCCATACCGAAAATGATACTTTGCTGTTTATGAATGAAAAATGAAGTTGAAAGTTTAAAAGACATTTCTTTAAAATCTCATTATTGCAGTTCCTTTCTTAAAACTTTCAAAATAGAGAGTGTTGTGTGTTTTATGACATAACGTCGACACCTCAATTGACTATAAAACGTGAAACTAGACCGTGATATTCCGTGTGATCGAACTATTACAGGTCTTCATTCTTATACTCTAGTCTTCTAACCAATTTTCTCTGGCGGAAACTCTGACTCATACGTCAAAGACAATCTTGTGAAGCTCCATGTGAAATGGAACGGTGTAATTTGTTTTCCATTAATGAAAGTCCGATAGACGGAGAGTGGAAGGCATTACCCTAATATCCCATTCAAGAGAAGTCTAAAAGAATTCCAATCGAAACAGTTCGATCAGAATGACAACTTGATTAAAGGTATAGTCTCATTCTCCATTATTATCCAGTAACTTATTTTCTACCGTTCTAAAGTCACGGTTCGGTTTTGAAATTACTGTTATAGTAAGGAATTCAGAGTAAATTTGTGTTATCTTATCATTGAGTGGTGGTGCAAAGGTTGAGTTCCTATGCCTATAGTTTTATATTAAATGTTCACGTCCATCTTATTTATTTAAACGGTTAATATATTTGTTTAATTTTTTTAATTAAAGATTTCTTCATTTATTTCGGGACATTATAACATTATTCAGTTCCAAATCAGAAAAATAAACGTTTTAAGCGCTGCAATCTTTCTATAGACATTCTGGCGTTTTCATATACATTATGTTCACCAACTATTTGATTGCTTAATATGATAGAAACTACAGAAATCCATCTTGTCCAAGTTTTAAACCATTATGGAACATGAATGCATGTATATAGAGAGAAATAGGTGAACTGCGAACATCTACCTTAGAATGAAAAGTCGAGCAGGCTGATCACACTAGAACCTACTTTATCTTGTCAATTCTGACAGATCATTTAAATTCTTGTAACGCAAGTAGATCATACTTACACCGAATAAAAACTATAACTAATTCTACAAAATTATGAAAAATAAAAAGATGAAAAAAAGAACAAGCCTGATATATTTTCGTGCGTCCAAAAAGTAGGGTAACATACGCCAACACAGCAGCTTTGTTAAATTTTAAGATGCATTAAATATCTGACAAATTCGTTACGATTACTTAGAAAATGTTCATTGCAAAAGCTATCAACTTCTAATTTAAATGTTCAAACCGATATAGATAAATTTGCCTCTTCCATTGCGCTCACAAACAGATATCCAACACCAAAACAGTTCTTCGAAGGTCTGCCAAATTCAAGATCGCGTTCAAGATCTTTTCAATCACAATGATCACAGTAAAATCAATTGAAGCTTCTATTGTGCTAACGACCAAATTTCATTAATATAAATGATGAAATGAATAAATGACAACCATATACGTCCACATTTCAAAGTAAAAGTTTTTTACCACCTTAATTAAGCACTATTCATTGTAAGCTATTACAAGACATTCGGCAATATCCTCTTTTGCAAGAGTATTTCTGCTTGCAATTTTAAAATTTTTTGCTGCTGTAAGGTTAATTTACTTAAACAACACCATTTTCTTTGTCTTCATGACTTAAGCACCACGGGTTTAGACGAATCACAAGGCAAAAAGTCTAACCATTGGAACCGACCTGCCAAGTCGTGACTGGTTATCCTATTGGAACATGTAATGAATCCACAGTTGAATTGAGTAAAGGCTTACATAAGAGATAATAAGTATCGGAATACTAGACTTAATAATAACAGCCTATCAAAAAGTTAATTATACTTTAGTTTTAACCGCCATATTTTCAGGTTTAAATCTTAGACGACAGAAACCAAATTGCTAACAGAGGACATGTGCAGACGGAGTACGGATTCCATTCGATCGTTGGCGATGAAACCAGATGTCAAGCGAATGTAACTTCTCGAAACCTTATATCTAATTCTGTCACTGCTGATGTAAGTTACGACTTTTATGAGGTCATAGTAGGCTACATTACATGTACCTTCAGGGGCGTATATAGAAAATGCCCGAGATGGGAGGCCAAAAATGAAAGATGTCTTTCCGAAGACCTTTTAGGTCGGGGGTCTGCCAGAGCCCCAGAAGTACACAGATTTCAGATGATTTATGAACAGTTAGAGGGTTTAAAGAGTCACATCAAATAAGACCTTTCACAGACCTAAGAGGAGGAACATGGCCCAAAGGACCCTCCCCCTAAATACGCCACTGTGTACCTTCTCACTCATTGGGCTCATTCTGCAGAATAGTTCAATCTGACGTATAGTGGTTCGAAGCCCGATTAACATTTTGAAAGTTTTACCACTGGGTCTGTGAGATATGATTTAGTTTTTAATATGAAAATATCAAAGCGACTTAATTTATTAACTCTGTGGACAGACGAACAGAACGCGCTAGACTGTTAAATGGATATTAAATAGTTACAGTTCAGGGACATATTTAGTCTTCTTTCGAGAATTACCCATAACCCGCTATATAGAGTACATCACATTGAACTCTTCGCTCTTCAGGCTCCTTCACCTATTACCATGTACCACTTGCATCATGAAATATTCGATTGATTGTCAGCGAATAAAAACAGTATACTGATAGTTTTTGGAGATAAAGATAATTTGTAAATACGTATATCTTTGATTTTAAGAGCTGAAGGTTAATGAGTGTAGGACTATAGATAACTGAACAGCATTCATGAATTTCTAGGATTTTCAAATGCACCCTTGCTTATTTATATGTTGGTCTAAAGCCAATTTTTCATCGCAATATAACATCGTGTGGTGCATCTTGTCGCCTGTATGGTTGTTGAATGTTGGAAATGTTATATCATTTAGCTAACTTACGGCTCTGTATGTCCTCTTCTGTCCTGCATGTTTCCCACCTCGGCCATCCATTTCCACATGTACACTGTAAATAATATCAAAAAAATCTTCTACCATGGCAACTCGTTTAAATCCACCGTCCAGTGAAACACCACCCTGAAACATATAATGAATTGTTTGAAAAGATAATGGAGTAGATTTAGGGTGGATAAATAGACAAATGATTGTCTTTTGAAAGTTCCATGGAAGGCTGACATTCACTGAGACATCAGAATTTTCAGAACTAGATTGTTCAATTCGAATCAGATGTGTGCATATTAACATTTCGCCAAATTCCTGTAACTATTTGGCTTATTTTTTGTTGTATCCATAGTTTAATTCAAACCGATTTTTTTTCTAAATTGGGATGATGTTCATATCAGGTTGCAAGATAAAATAGAAACATTTAATTACATCTCAAAACTATGACATCTGACTATAGTAGCGGGATACCTATAGCCTTTAGTCTCTGTCTGTAGAAGACCTTGAAGGAAACGGAAAGAGACAGTGACCTGTGTTGCTACTATCCTCTAGTCCTTCCATACTGCTCTATAGTCTGTGTCATTGGAGTTAATTAATACAAGTTTTGTTTTCCCCCAAACAGCCTTATCAACAAGTCACAAACACAGTCAGTCTTCTATCCTGCCATGAATATAAATAACACAATTCATTGCCTCCAGTCGAACAGTGCCAAAACGGCAATCACCAAAGGTGGCTCATTAGGCGGGAATTAGAAGAGGTCTTGTGAAACTATCAAGTGGCCGACAGTCACGTTCTTCACGATGTGTGCACATGCATGATTTCTGTGGACTTGGGATAAATGAAAAGAAAAGGATTCCGATGTATTGAGAAGCTGATTGTCTGTAAGAGGTTGTTATTGATAATAAGACCATCGTTAGATGTTATCTCGGTCCGATTAAACCACTAGTGATTGATTATACATCAAACAGTATCGTTTGTATAACCAAACCACCATATCCGGTTGAGGTCATATTCTTATACATTCCGATATTGCCCAGTGTGTGTATTGTGCATTTTTGTATAAAATCTTACAATTTTAGTTCTAGACTTCTATGTTACTATCTTACTGAAAAACTTACAATCTTATCTTATAATGATTTCTAACGCGGAATCACACTATTTCACTAATTATAGTATTCCTTAATTGGACTCAAATATATATGTGATATAGATGTACAATGTACATATCGAATTTGAAGTCAACGACAGGGTTACCATTTTGTTCTTAAAGGTTTTGTTCATCTGGTCTAATTAATGATAATCTTAGAATGACTTTGCGCTGATGAAAACATTAAGTTAATAAGTTTAATATAAACATATTTCCCCTAGTTTCATGTTTACAGAGTTATTCTAAGCCTATCATTACTGATGATGACATTCCAATTCACATAATTAATCTAGTCTAAGACCTAGACTAAGAAAAGGGTCCATCTCAATTTCTAAATTTTGTGAAAATGCAACAGTTTATCAATATTTATGAAGCTTTAATCAAAACTATAATGAATCTTTCGTAATATATACGTTGTTGGTCGTGATGATTTGCTTACCATTTATTTATCATTTATTGTATTTTACCATTCTATACCAGTATCCTATTGTATAGTATCGTATTGTATTATGTCTGGAATAGAGTTGAAGACAGATCGGCCTTTAGCGTTGATTTGCCCCATTAGAGGAATTCGTTTTCTTGGTCATCATTATTCGCTACAACCTTCATTTAAAATATATTGAAAATGTCGAAAATTACTTGAAACTTTTGATCCCAATTTTACAAATTGACATATGCTTTGAATATAAATTGTTCTTGAAATTTATTTCCTCCAGTCCCGTTAAATTGCCCGCCTGTTATTAATGTAAAATTGTCTTATTTTGTTTTTTAGACGCTATTAAAATGAACTGTCTTGAAACAAGATGGACGAGTGAAATTCAATACAAAACGAAATAACGAATATTCTGCCAGTAAAATTGAAATATATAATGGGCCATAATTCGGTTTGAGAAACTAAAGAACATGTAGAGTAGAATAATTTGTTTCATTATTTTATAATTAATGGAATTTAAACTAGCCTAATTTAACCTCGATCATGTGAGGCGTCCTGACAAAAAAGTGAAGAATCACATTTAAATGTGCTTATTTGGAAATTTCTCTTCCTGTTACATTTAAAATGGTGAATTTCTCTCTTAATCTCTTTTTCTTGCTATATTGGTAGAGGGGCATTGCCTTAACTAGGCTTTGATTTGTCCTGTTCACTAAAAACAACCCTTAAATGAAGAATTAAGAAATATTGTGATCTGGTTAATGAAACTAAATTAAGAATCAATTTTAGTTCTTGACCAATCAGATGGAGAGTATGATAAAATCAATTACATAACTCCGATTCTGCGTGTTACGTTTAAAAGTCATTAAAATGGTAACCTCATTGTCGAAATTTGAGCCTTTAAATCCATGCGTAGCCCGAATTATCTGCGTTTGAATGTTAAAATGTCGACTCGTCAAGATACTCTGTGATATATAGAAAAGGCATATATATATAGTGAGTAAAATTTTCGTACATTTCCAGTACTTTTGAAGACTATTTTGACTTTAACACTCAAATCAATCCCTCAAAATGGCGCAACCGTCCATTTAATAGCTGAGAATTACTCTACTATGCTATTATCTTAATTCTGGTGTAAAACTTTTCTTAAAATGCCAAAATTCAACAAAAATTATACAGAATAAGTTCTAAACCCTCTGCCCATAATACCTGAGAATTACTGCGTTATTGTTTTTACAAATTCTGGCGTAATGTATAGCTCCTTAAAACACGTCTGTAATACTACAGAGAAGCAGAATTGGTCCAGATTATTCGTCTTGTCAAACTACGAGTGAATTGTACATTTTTATGTGTCTAATAGGTTTATAATGTGAAGAAAATAGAATTATGGTGCGGTTCTGGATGCCAGTCGGGACCAATAACCACAGTCCTAGTATCTAACTCATTTGTCTTGTCCCCTTTAACACATGTCTTTTTATTACCTCCAAGCTCTAGAATAACGATTATGTGCATTTTATCTTCCCCTAGGAATTAACAGAAAATTACAAGTCTTAAGTCGGATTTCTCACTAAATACAAAGTCATTACAAGGCGTTGGAAGTATGTTTCCATGGAATGCTCTTAGCGAACTGCGTCTAAAATTTATTGTCCAAGTTATAATTCAACCAACTACCAAAAAATTATTATTTGATAAAATATATCCATGGTTTGCACTTGCGACCTTGACCACTGTTTCTTTTTATAGCTGAGTCCCACATAATTATACATATACATTAAACTATGATTAGCAGCATTGCTTTGAGAATATCTTTGGCATGGTCATCATGTACATTATATAACCTAACCATTACAACCAATCTTGATTTTAGACGGAAGACCTGCCCTGCCTTGCAGAATTAAAACCGTCAAAGTAACAGTAGTTAAAATATATATATTTAAGATGGGTTCCCTTATTTTTATTTATGAAAATGAAAATGCTAATACTTAATTGAAGAGAAAGTAGAGGTGTTCTAATGACTTGGAAAAATACCAGTTAGTCTCACAGATTGTCAAAATTTATTCATAATTAGCTAAATTAGAAGAGAATTTCCAGCAAAATTCCAATGACCGATCAAGAAAGGTCAAAAAGTCTTTACATACATGGACATTTATGATTGGTTAAAACTCCTAATTACATGCAATATAAAAAAAATAGTGATATGATTAAGAATACATGATAATTCAAACCCCAATTAATCAAATAGTTTTCTTAATTTGACACTAAAAAATAAGCTCAAGATTATCTCAACTTCATATTAGTGTTTAGAATGAATGAAGACAAACGATGACCTAAGTACATTTGTATATGTCAATGTACCGTAAAATAAAAATGAAACGGGACGTTGAATAGAAAATAAGAAACCTAACATGATATTCAATATCGACTTAATTCATAAAATCGATTTTAAATGACAGTATTCTTTTTTTTTACATCAACGAGTAATATTGAGTGAAGGAAAAAACTTGGGTTTTGAAGATGAGCCGATTATGAGTAGAACTACTTTTATTTTGACTTGTACAACGAGAAACCTTTCATCTAGCCGCCAGGAAAGTTTAATCTGTTAAAACTCTTACAAGTCCCACATGATCCATGCACTTGAAATATATTCCGGTTGCTGGAAGTTATTCCGACAGCTCAACTAGTTCTGAGTCACCTGGAAGTGTCCCATTGATATTTACTCACTAATTTTTGTGTAATTGGTGAGTATGCCCAGATAAAAAATTTGATCTACTAAACTGGTCTAAGTTCTTGATTATTTTACAGTATGTACTGAAAAGCACGCTATTTGAAAGTTCAAAATTTAGTTTCGGGGAAGGTGGGTTTGATTCTCCCAAATGTATAAACCTTAGCTTTATTAACCAGGGCGTACGTAATACTTAATGATACATGCTATTTCGCGTTATTTGGAAGAAAATAGGTGATATTCACATTTTTTCGCCATTCGATATAAATTCATGCATCCATTTAACTAGTAGAAAGACTAAAAATCTTTTATTTCGCACCTAGATAATTCTGTAGATCATTTTTAGCTATTTGTTTTAAATATTACGAGAAGAAGTCTATAAAATGATGTATGTCATCAGCTGTCGGATACCTTGAAGCGTCCTGTAACAATTTGCCCGCCATTTTGACTGGAGCAGATGAGAACTCTACAGGTTACCACGGAAACAGAAAATGAGAGACTGTAGGAAGATAATGTTGATGACACGTAGTTCTCAGTTTGCACATCGGATCAGGTGTCCTTTTGATGGTTCCTGATTAAAAACCAGGCAACTTATCATCTAGTTTCTAAAAAGACACATTTATTATACATAGGACAAATATTAAAACGAGATGAAATATCAACTTTTCCAAATCATTTTTAAAGCTGGAATTGAAATCAGATAAAACATTGATAGCTTCTTGATAACGAGAAAAATTTCAATAGATTAAAGTTGAATAATAAAAAAACAAAATGTCATGTAGATATGAGGTATACTATTTTATAGATTGAGGTTTGGGAAAAATGTAGGTATGCTGGCAAAGCTGAGTTGGAAAACATGATAATGTGGTTATTTTCAGTGCAGTTGGAAGACTTGAGTTAGATAATAAGTATTATCTGCTTTCCACTGGCAAAGCTGAGTTGGATAACATAACAATGTGGTTATCTTCAGTACAGTTGGAAGACTGAGTAAGATAATAAGTGTTATCTACTTTACACTGGCAAAGCTGAGTTGGATAACATAACAATGTGGTTATCTTCAGTACAATTGGAAGACTGAATTAGATAATAAGTGTTATCTGCTTTACACTGGCAAAGCTAAGTTGAATAACATGATAATGTGGTTATCTTCAGTACAGTTGGAAGACTGAGTAAGATAATAAGTGTTATCTGCTTTACACTGGCAAAGCTGAGTTGGATAACATAACAATGTGGTTATCTTCAGTACAGTTGGAAGACTGAGTAAGATAATAAGTGTTATCTACTTTACACTGGCAAAGCTGAGTTGGATAACATAACAATGTGGTTATCTTTAGTACAGTTGGAAGACTGAGTAAGATAATAAGTGTTATCTACTTTACACTGGCAAAGCTGAGTTGGATAACATAACAATGTGGTTATCTTCAGTACAATTGGAAGACTGAATTAGATAATAAGTGTTATCTGCTTTACACTGGCAAAGCTAAGTTGAATAACATGATAATGTGGTTATCTTCAGTACAGTTGGAAGACTGAGTAAGATAATAAGTGTTATCTACTTTACACTGGCAAAGCTGAGTTGGATAACATAATAATGTGGTTATCTTCAGTACAGTTGGAAGACTGGGTAAGATAATAAGTGTTATCTGCTTTACACTGGCAAAGCTGAGTTGGATAACATAATAATGTGGTTATCTTCAGTACAATTGGAAGACTGAATTAGATAATAAGTATTATCTGCTTTACACTGGCAAAGCTGAGTTGGATAACATAACAATGTGGTTATCTTCAGTACAGTTGGAAGACTGGGTAAGATAATAAGTGTTATCTACTTTACACTGGCAAAGCTGAGTTGGATAACATAACAATGTGGTTATCTTCAGTACAGTTGGAAGACTGGGTAAGATAATAAGTGTTATCTGCTTTACACTGGCAAAGCTGAGTTGGATAACATAATAATGTGGTTATCTTCAGTACAATTGGAAGACTGAATTAGTTAATAAGTGTTATCTACTTTACACTGGCAAAGCTGAGTTGGATAACATAACAATGTGGTTATCTTCAGTACAGTTGGAAGACTGGGTAAGATGATAAGTGTTATCTGCTTTACACTGGCAAAGCTGAGTTGGATAACATAATAATGTGGTTATCTTCAGTACAATTGGAAGACTGAATTAGATAATAAGTATTATCTGCTTTACACCGGCAAAGCTGAGTTGGATAACATAACAATGTGGTTATCTTCAGTACAGTTGGAAGACTGGGTAAGATAATAAGTGTTATCTACTTTACACTGGCAAAGCTGATTTGGATAACATAACAATGTGGTTATCTTCAGTACAATTGGAAGACTGAATTAGATAATAAGTGTTATCTGCTTTACACTGGCAAAGCTAAGTTGAATAACATGATAATGTGGTTATCTTCAGTACAGTTGGAAGACTGAGTAAGATAATAAGTGTTATCTGCTTTACACTGGCAAAGCTGAGTTGGATAACATAACAATGTGGTTATCTTCAGTACAATTGGAAGACTGAATTAGATAATAAGTGTTATCTGCTTTACACTGGCAAAGCTAAGTTGAATAACATGATAATGTGGTTATCTTCAGTACAGTTGGAAGACTGAGTAAGATAATAAGTGTTATCTGCTTTACACTGGCAAAGCTGAGTTGGATAACATAACAATGTGGTTATCTTCAGTACAGTTGGAAGACTGAGTAAGATAATAAGTGTTATCTACTTTACACTGGCAAAGCTGAGTTGGATAACATAACAATGTGGTTATCTTCAGTACAGTTGGAAGACTGAGTAAGATAATAAGTGTTATCTGCTTTACACTGGCAAAGCTGAGTTGGATAACATAACAATGTGGTTATCTTCAGTACAGTTGGAAGACTGAGTAAGATAATAAGTGTTATCTGCTTTACACTGGCAAAGCTGAGTTGGATAACATGGTAATGTGGTTATCTTCAGTACAGTTGGACGACTGAATTACATAATAAGTATTATCTGCTTTACACTGACAAAGCTGAGTTGGATAACATAATAATGTGGTTATCTTCAGTACAATTGGATGACTGAATTAGATAATAAGTATTATCTGCTTTACACTGGCAAAGCTGAGTTGGATAACATAACAATGTGGTTATCTTCAGTACAATTGGAAGACTGAATTAGATAATAAGTGTTATCTGCTTTACACTGGCAAAGCTGAGTTGGATAACATAACAATGTGGTTATCTTCAGTACAGATGGAAGACTGAGTAAGATAATAAGTGTTATCTACTTTACACTGGCAAAGCTGAGTTGGATAACATAACAATGTGGTTATCTTCAGTACAGTTGGAAGACTGAGTAAGATAATAAGTTACACTGGATATCATAATAATGTGGTTATTATCAGTACCCCTTTAACATAAAACATGTTGGAATACTGCCATCAATTTGTGCTATATAGTAGTAGTTGTTGATATACCTATTTGTACCTGTAATTTATCTTGATATAGATAACGTATGTACATTTACAAGAATCTTCCGTGTAGTTCCTAAAATATCAAATATTGAAACCTGCAGGCAATCCATAAAGTAAACACAAATTTTGTTAACGGTTGGTTAGATTAACCAACCAAGGGTTTATCTTTTGCGATTTATGACTCATGAAGTAACAGGCCACAGTTCCATATATGGATGAAGAATTAAAAAAAGCCACCGGACATACCCTCGGAAGCTCAGACGACGACAGAAGAATTTTGAATTGAGACGAATAGGTATTACAAACTATAATTCATCTCGCTGAATATATTGAAATGAACTTCCCAATAGAAATATTGGTTTGCCTGTGTGAGATGCAATTATCAAGGTGCTACCGGAATCATTTGTACGAGATGCAATTATAAAGTTGTTGAAGATTTGAATTCCCGTGGGGTAGTGAGCTTACTCGGTGGCCATGCAAAGTTAAATTCATTTCAAATGAATATCTAATAATTAATCAAGAAGCAATATCCTGAATTGTCTTTTTGGAAAATGCCCTGAGAAATTCTTCCTTATATATATGATAATAATATAATACAGGCAGATTGAACCGTCCGAGACCTTTCATTACATTAGTGTATTTCCATCATCCGGACTTTTTCAATGATTTTTCCTAATTATCACTAAGCTCTAGATTGGATGGGCGTGGGATCCCGTTTCCATGGTAATAATATCTCTCAGAATCAGATTTCTCTACGCGGGACTAATAATATATAGGTGTTAATATTTTCACTGAAAGACTAGAAATCAAGTTGGCTCCACGTCAATCATTATAGAGAATGATTTGACTAATTAATCACGGTAAATGATAATAGGTGACTTGTCACAATAATCATAGAGCTGATGGTAGAAAACTCTCTTCAAACACAATAGACTACCATCTTGAGAGTACGAGTGTTAGTTTTTCACAATACTAGAAAAATATCGTGCAATTATTTCATCTTTTCTTTTAGTTTTTAGACTACAAATGATCGTTGTAACAAAATACAGAACTGGCAGCTCTTCAGGCCTTCATTTAATTCAGGAAGGTAACAAAGAACCAAGGTCCCACGCTACTGGTTATGTACTTCTAGAACGACAGTTCCGAGTTAACTTTGAGTTAACTTAGTCATGTCCAGAGTGATATGATATATTCTAATCATTAAGGTCAGAACCTAAATCCGCTTCAAAATATCAAAAATCATGTTAAAATTGTCCTTTTGTACACAGACTTATCTATTTACGTTAAAATTGTAAAACCATTCTTTGTTTTTCCATCATGTCAATAGATTAAGTTATTCTTTAATGAACATTTGCTAAAAGCTTATTTAGGAAACAGTTTGATTTTCAAAATATTTCACCATGTCATTCAATTATAATTGTATAAAGTATACATACAATTAAAATTATTGAAATCCTTTCTGAATTACACGATCATAATTTCAATTTTTGAACGTCTTACTCGGAAAGTTTAGGAGCCACTAGGGTGCTTTTGAAATGTCTATGGACATAAAAATATTAAAAATATGTGACTTCTTGCTGGGGCTTTTCCAATCAAACTCTCCCCCGCCCGATACATATAGTGTAAACAGAGCCAATGCATTTCACTCTAATAGAATCACTGTCTTTGTGACTGTCAAATTTCAGCGGATCTCAATGCGGCCATACGAACTATATTTTAGCGATGTATATAACTATCAGTTGGGATAGCCATAACTAATAACTAATTGAGTATCGTCCTAATGGAAAACTCTATTATAACGTGTTTAACACAGTTGCCGGAGGCAAGAAGATTATATGTTACGTGGTAATCTGTAGAACACGACTTGCTTGGGTCAATTTTCTACATCTTCGATTAGTCAGACCAGCAGTCGGTCGTAGGTCGGTCGGTCGGTTGGTCGTACAAAATAATGAGGCGGTGTATCGCGGATTAAATTAGTAGATGTAATTATAAACAATATCAGATTTACCTGCGTCTTTAAATCTCTTTCTTTCAAGATAAATAGTCGTCTAATATTTCTTTTATTATTTACACTAATTCCAATACGACTCAACTTATAAAGGGATATAGTTGTTGGAATATGTTCATTCTGAGGGTCTGTCAACTATAGTAAAACATAATTAGAGAAAGGAGTATATCCGTTCACGATATCCATAGTAGTTTTAGTAGTAGTTAATGATTCTGATTTGAGGGATAATTACGATTTCGATTTCATAAAATAGATGTTTTGGAATAACAGAAACAAAAAATCGAAATGGTAGAAACGGAAGCTAAGAATGCCCACTAATGCACACATACTAAGGCTAGAAAATTATTTTGAAAAGCATTAACGGTTGAATTAGATTTTGATGAAACCGAAAAAAAGGTCGCTAAAGAGGTGCGGAAAATCGGATAAGTTGGATTCATTTTAACTCCATCAATGAGGTTTAACTTACAGCCCGTGATCTTATGATATAATTCTCTATAGCCGTTTTGTCGTCAAAATATTATAAAACACACATTAAGTTAGCATAGAAACTTTGTATTTATCAATTGTGTTATATGATGTTTGCAGCATTTCCATTCCATAGAGAGGTATCTACCATTTATATTTTGACCAATTGCATGCATCAAGGGTGTCACTCAAAGTTACAATCCTTGACGTAAATAGAGACCTTCCCCACAACCCATAATAAAGTGATTTGGAAGTATACATGTACCCTATAAATAAATAAATAAATAAATAAAATGTTTTCAGACACTGCTCATGATATTGTACAAGCAATATTGCTTTTCTTCTATTTACCCCTAAATATGGTTGTGACACTCATTTCTAGATACTAGTTATTCATTTATTTTTTCATTTCTTTCATTTAAATAAGAAATTGTCGCGAGGCCTATATACGAGACATTGGAATAGACTGAAGTTGTAGAGAGAATCGACCGGATATCTTTGGTTCGCCAACCTGTTGAGAGCCATAACTGAAAACGTCATTTGGGAAGGAAAATCATTTAATTGAATTAAGTGTGTACAGGACAGGTTCTGGAATTTGTAGAGGCAAGTTGAATGTTGAAGACGGGATCAATAGGCCGTTCTCACTACAATTTTCACTTTCTATCGCCCCGCTCCATATCGACACAACCATCAGATAATACTGTTAAGCTTTTCGTGCGTGAATTCGATTTCATGTGCTGGTTTTCGTCTCTCTGGAGAACGCTGTCAACCAAACTAACCATTGATAAGCGCTTTTAACTAAGCCATGATTTTGACAGACGATCAAGCCCCCAAGGAGACGTACTTTAAATTTTAATATCCGATTTGCGGATAGTCCCGTGACACCGTCTCATATTACTGTAAAAATATTCAAATATCCTTCTTTTATGTGTCATGTTTATAACATTAAAGAAAAAACTAAAATGGGAATTTATTGTAAACAAATCATGTTATTAACTTCAATTCCAGATAGATACACGAATTGCTATTGAACGGAACAAAACTTAAACAACATTTTTGTTATTATATCGGATAAGACAAAAATATTTGTAATTTATGTTGAAGAGCTTATTTTTTGTTATCATATGGGACAAATTATTTGCTATTGCACGTGGCAAATTTACAGTTTTATTGATCCTTAGATTCGAATATACAAATATACAACATTATTAGTCATTAATGACTACGTACGGGGCAAATGTACAGCTTCATTAGTCATTACACTCGACAAATATAGAACATATTTTGTTACTGCACGGGTTGAAAACAGAGTATTATTTATCTTTTTAAAATGTTAATAGTTGTTATAAGAATGACAATTACTGTATGTGCTCGATCAAGAAATTGGTCAAGAAAGTTCACACAGATTTTCATATTTCCGGTGATGAAATGTATCACATCCAGTATGCTCTAAATGCAACTAAGAGAGATTTAAAATAGCGGAAATACGATTTACATTGACACACATTAGCAGATTAAAGCAGTATTGGGATTGAGCATGTCATGTTTTCAACATGTGTGATAAGGGTAACCATAATATCCTACTTTTACATAGAAAATAATGGGATGTGGAATATATCGCTTTTCCACTGTTGCTCTACTGCAACAAGACATCTATTTACCTGTTACAGCATAACAATTTAGCCAGCTTCGGATGCCGAATACGCTGGAGAACATCTTTGTGTGACAGGGCCTTTAGTTTCGAGCTCCTGTTTTATGATGCGTGGCTGTAAGGTCCCAAGACCATTGCTCATTAATCACGCTAAAACTTCTTCAGCTTTTATATGGAAACGACCATAAACTTCTGATTTTCTTGGCTACAAATTTGAGGGTCGAGGACAGACTTGCCATTAAAAGAAAATTTGTTGATCAATACCAATACTTTAAGCGAACCACAGGCCTTCTGTGCCATATAATGAAGAAATAATAATATCTATACTATACGCTGTAAAGGTAATTACGTTAAAAATACGGAAAATTGTACCCGGTCAGTATTTCAACACTGAATAACCCTTATATAAGTCGCTGTTTTATGGTACAGAGAGCTGAACTTGGTGAGTAATCACAAATCATATCGGAAAGTTTTGTATAATATAACAGGGTTTAACTAAACATAATCAACTTGAACTAGTTACAAAAAACAGCAAACCTCATTCTGAGCAATAAGTAAATAATTTACTGAAGAGAAAACCTGTATTATGGGATAGAAAACCCAATTTTGAGCTAGTTTATTATATACTGAAGAGAAAACCTATATTATTGAACAGAAAACCCAATTCTGGGCTAGTAAATGATTTACTTAAGAGAAAACCTATATTATTGAACAGAAAACCCAATTCTGAGCTAGTAAATGATTTACTTAAGAGAAAACCTATAACATGAAACAGAAAACCCAATTCTGAGCTAGTAAATGATTTACTTAAGAGAAAACCTATAACATGAAACAGACAACCCAATTCTGAGCTAGTTTATGATTTACTTAAGAGAAAACTTCGTGTGTATCATGGAACAGAAAACCCCATTCTAAGCTAATAAATGATCTGTTCAACAGAAAAACAAACAAGCGGAGTTAGTATCTGATTTACAGAACAGAAAAACAACAATCGGAGCAATAGCTTCTGATTTTGTAACATATATTCAGTAGCTAAGGTATGTGACAGTGAACTGTATTTTAAACTAAATCGACTTACAGTGTTATTATTTATAATGATAGTGGTAATAATGTTTTATTCTTTTCGCCATAAGTAAATTACTGTTCTTTTCTTTGTTTCTCACTGTGTCCATTTGTTTTCTTTTTTTCCAAAATTCTTCCAATGATTTATAAATTTTCCATTCTCTTAATTTTAATTTTGAAACGCACACTGACGAGCGACCGTTTAAAAGAACAGATTCACCATTTTTGAAGGTTGATTTAGGTCTTCAATGTATGTAAGTAGTCTTCAGAAGTACAAGAAATGTACGAAAATCACACATAACATTCAAAAACATATCAAACTAGGAATTTCACTTTCTATTTCTATATGGCCAAGTCTCGAGAAAATACGTGTTGTCTTTTTAACTTTCAAAGGCGGATAATTCTGGACACTTTTGGATTTGAAGACTATTACTGAATAGCTTAACTAAACAATCCCTGTTTCTGGGACTAAATTACGATTGCTAAAAAGAAATGGAAAATCTGTCCATTTAAGAGATGGTAAATTTGGTCAAGTGTCAAAGATTGCAATATGTGTATCTCACCACCAGAATACATTGACATTTGCAAACAAAAATGTAACTTCCATATTAAGTTAAAGATAAAACCAAGGACGATTTTCCTCACAAACATTTACCTTGCCCAATATACATCCTACCCAGGCATAGAACTGTTGATCCACGGGAAAGTTTACCCATACCGTAATGAATCCATACTTTGAAAGAACCATATATATTTCAATTGCAACTAGAAATTGGCTTTAACTGCGAGCCTAAAGGTCAATGGGCTCATATGAGGATGGACCCTAGAGCTGACACGATGTTTGATTCTAACTGTGATTTATAAGATTGATTTTGTTAATAAAGGCGATTACCATAATTATCTACCTGTATTCATTAAAGCAATCAATTTCCCTCTCATCCAATGTCGTTTAACACAAATTACATACAAAATCGTTAAAAAAAATCCTTACCGTTGTTTTACTGGGTACTTCAAGGAATGGCTCCGGTTCATCCTCCTTCTCAATTTCACAACTTAGTCGAAATCCTTTGGCTTTCACCCAAAACCTGAATTTAGAATTTTCGGATGTCGATTGTTCCTCTCCAGATAAGATATTAGTAATTCGATCATACTTTTTTCTTGTCACAGTTTTAGTCTTGCCACTGTCCCCATAATTTTTGATGGCCCAACTTTGAAATGTTTCAAACATTTCCAATTTATCGGCTTCCGAAATACAGGCAGACGATTCTTCATTTCTAGCAGACGACGACATTGTTTCCGTGTAGAAGTTTTGTCGGCTGCTACCAACTGTCCTATAGAACGTCTGCTATGAATGGTTAATAGTAAAATGAGTGGAGCATCTATACAGGACTGTCACAACTATCTCTCTTACAAGCCTTCGTAACGGAAGCTTCCAGCTGTCATTGACTTGCTTCCGTTATATCCTCTTCTCGCTAATTAGTACCATTTTCGACCATGGGACACACTGGACACGCGCACTACAATTGCGAGTTGATGAGGGCAGATGTCCCATATCAGGATGAAGTCCGCGAGTAAATTAACCTCGGTTTACTGGGATCAATGCTGATAATGGAGACGGTTGCCTGATAATTTAATTTATAATCGGCTCATGACCGTATTTCAAATACATCCTTGGATTTTTTTCTTGAAAATCCATCATTTATTACAAACGATGAATTCTTATCTTGCTTTGTCAATCTTCATATTTTTAAATTACTTTTTTTAATGCTCTTATTATTTCAAGTGTGATCATTAGACTCTTTACATAGATATGCATTATTACCCTATTTTAAAACAACTACTATCTGTGCGCCAATGTTAATGTTTCATGCCTACCTCTATAAACACTACAGAGTTTTTGTTTATTTTAACCGGGTGGCGCTACCAGTAATACGCAGCACAGTGTCCTTTGGATTTCTATCCCTGTCAGTTGAACTGACATTATAAATTCGGACGGGGAACAATAAATCTACAAACATAAGATGAAAAGCAGGATGTAAAACCCCAATTCATTTATAATGTTTATTATAGACGGAATATGTTGACTACTAGATTACATTAAAAAAGGCTAAAGCGTATTTGAGAGTTAAGTTGTTACATGCTAATTAAAGATGGGCTTTGAATCAGTAAGTAAAAAAAATTTCGAATGAAAAAAATTCTAATTGGTGTTTGATTTAAATATTTGTATAGAAACATCAAAAGTTTGCTTCATTTTTCGCGCAAAACATGCAGATGCGCCACAACTACAATTTACCCGGAGCTCGCAATGAAGAAAACACAAAATTAATATGTCATGTGATTCTACACACTTGAATAATTGTTTGCATCTCAAGGGAAGTAACCTATGCTTAATACTTTGTGCTAACTGGAGTCAAAAATAGAGAGAAATATCAGAGAAGTACCCTTCAACAATTCATGTATGATGAATGATGTGGATCTGTAAACTTGCGCAGAGAGAAAAGCTAATTGGTCAGCAACAATATTTTCTCTTCTGTCAAAATAAATGTTTTTGTTATATTCCAAATCAGAATATCGGTCTTTTAAAATTTTTATCTTGACAGACTTCTGTTAATCCTGCATAGGCCGTATCCTTTTTCTACTCGGCCAAAATAACAACCGTTTTCTTCTACTCGGCCAGGATTATTAGCCTTTATTTCAATTTTGCTCAACTTCACAATGCCAGGCTATTACGACAGAAGAAAGATGATATTTTTTTAATCTGCCTTGACAGCAAAATTTTTGTGAATTCACCCAAAGGTTGTGGTATTTGCAATTCTTCCTAAACGAATCTTCTTCAATTGCTAAGTTAATATTTGAAAAGTGGAGAACATCCTTTTCAAATTTTAAACCATAAACGACATAGTCCAATAGCCGAAAAAATTCATTTAAGTGGATATGGCATGTGTAACTATTGTATTTGTCTATGAGGAAAAAGTGGAGTATCTTGGATCAGTCAGGATGAAGTGGAAGGACAAAAACCATGTGTCGAAAGTGTTATTCACCGAGATAGCATCTGCCATTAATCAGAGATATTACTCTCTTTCGTTTCTCTATCTGAGAATTACATTTAAAAGAATCAGCTACTCCAGTTACTGATGTTAATTGAAAGCCAACGAAAGTGAAATGATTTTTAGTATATATTAATATTGTCAGTGTTTCGTGTTGGGGATGTCATTATATTTTATGACTACATTACATGTCAATGTCTTAGAGAAACAGTAATAATACATCCCACGTTCGAGAATTTAAAGAAAACTTTGCTTAAAACCCGAAAGTGTAACTAGAACAAAACAAAACTCATATAAATACAAAAGAATTGAACAAACCACAAATAGGCATGTTAACTATTCCAGAAAAGAACAGAATTTACTTATTGCTTTTTGGATCCACCACAGTAACTATCACATAGGACTTTACCATTGGCTTATCTTCATATTATACTAATGCATGCTCTCTGGCTAATCTACATATTAAACTGTTGTATGCTTCTGGCTAATCTAAATATTAAACTGTTGTATGCTTCTGGCTAATCTAAATATTAAACTGTTGCATGCTTCTGGCTAATCTACATATTAAACTGTTGCATATTCTCTGGCTAATCTACATATTAAACTGTTGCATATTCTCTGGCTAATCTACATATGAAACTGTTGTATGCTTCTGGCTAATCTAAATATTAAACTGTTGCATGCCTCTGGCTAATCTTAATATTAAACTGTTGTATGCTTCTGGCTAATCTACATATTAAACTGTTGCATATTCTCTGGCTAATCTACATATGAAACTGTTGCATGCCTCTGGCTAATCTAAATATTAAACTGTTGTATGCTTCTGGCTAATCTACATATTACACTGTTCCATGCTCTCTGGCTAATCAACATTTTTAACAGTTCCATGCTCTCTGGTCAATCCACATTTAAAACTGTTACATGACCTCTGGCTAATCTACATATTAAACAGTTCCATGTTATCTGGCTAATCTAAATATTTAACTGTTGCATGCTTTCTGGCTAATCAACATATTAAACATTTCCATGCTCTCTGGCTGAAACAACATATTTAACTCTTGCATGCCTCCTGGTTAATCTACATATTAGACTGTTGCATACTCTCTCTGACTAATAAACATTTTTAACAGTTCCAAGCTCTCTGGCTAATATACATATTTAACAGTTACATGCTTTCTGGCTAATCTACATATTTAACAGTTAAATGCTTTCTGGCTAATCTACATATTTAACAGTTACATGCTCCCTGCGGCTAGTCTACATATCAAACTTGAATGCAACATAAAATATTCTACAAACTATTTGACGGAATAATAATTTAATAGACAAAATGTTTACGGATTATGGAAACCATCCCATATTTTTGAATCCGATAATCTATTGGAAATCGTGCCAATGTGAAGACAAATTGAACAAGTTGAAAATGTTACGTCCAATATAAGAGAATTAATGAAAATCTATAAAACGATTCTTTTAAGCGTATCTTAACGTCCTTCTTATTGCATCCGATACACTGTCCTCTATCAATAAACCACATTTGAAGATTCTTGACAATTTATGGCTCATCTTCTATTTTAAACATGCCATCAAGTTAGTTCATCGAACCAGATTTATTAAAACAATCCCCACTTGTACGAAAGTTTGATCAAAGTATATGATTGAATACATGTACTACAGTATTCAAAGCTACGACTTTCGAACTTGGGCAATTCCCGAATTTGAGTAGGTCATATAAGCAAAGTTGTTGAATCTGTCCTGTAAAATTTTACTTTTTGCCTTCTCCATAATTTGTTTTTTAAAGGCTACCCCATATTTTCGCATCAAAACCACCCTGAATTGATGATTTATTTACATCAAATACCCATGTCAACCAGTATGGCATGTCTGTGATAACAGGTAAAAATGGTTAAAAATATAGTTTTGGTACAATTGGGGGTGCAAACTATTTATCTAGGGTGGTAAATGCCCCCAACTCGCCCTCCGTAACTTGCTTTCTGTTGACAGTGAACGACAAACCAAGCCTTCATATGAATAGGAGCTTGTGAAAACCAGTACTGACACCGCTCATCAAAGTAGATGAGTAAATAAAAATTTCGTTAAGAGAAGTAACTCGAAAAGAAACCATGCAAGTTTTCAAGTAAAAAAAGAAAATAATTTGATATAATTCCACGATAGAACGTCTTCTTACATCACAGTACAAGACAAAATTTGTTATTTTAATGGTTCTATGAATTATAGAAAATTTGACAAATATATCTTCACAAAGACTGCATTAAGTTTTTCCCCTCAAGAACTTGTCCGATCTAAGTGCCTTGATTTGTGAAATAGTTATTTCCATTATGGTTAAATACAATCATGTAGTGTAATAAGTAGAATCGGGATGTTCTGTCCAAATTATAAGACCGGAATAAACCCTTGAAACGAAGCTATGAAAATTGACTTGGCTTCCCGTTACAGGGAAATTTTGATAATGGCTTGTCCGCAATAGCAGTTATTGCTTGATATTTGGAAAGATATTTGTCTACTGCCCTGTATTACTTTCGTATCGCTGTCCATATATAAAGATAACTTTACTATCGGTGTGGATTCACCAAAAACAGATACATATATTGTTGCCCAGTGGCAGAGTGTGTGACAAAATAGTTTTGATATTATTTTCTGGAAACCTGCACTGTTGTCCCTTTCTCAAAAGTCATCGCTTTGTTCATCGTAGAAAGTAATTTTAAACGTAAATACCTAATGAATTAAAGCATACTCGCAACTTGAAAGCTGTTATGATCCCAATCTAAAACCACGAACATGAATTCTGTGTGTTGGCCTTTAATGCACTTAACTGATAAATATAAAGTTACATTGTTATATAGAATTGAATTAATAGAAATTAAAACTGGCCTTTTATGTCCTATAATACTAAAAATATTAGAATATACTATAGAGCAAATGATTCTCTTTTTTCAGAAACCAAGCCGATTTACACGAAATGTAAGGAATATTAATTATATTTGCTGGCTTGTTATGTGATTATTATCGTTTATTGTGCATTATCAAAATTGCTGGAGCCATTGAAACTGGTAACTCATCGAGCTGGGCATTTTCTCCAAACGAGAAGTTCCGTGGTTACATTTCAAGAACAGGAGCACTCTGGTTTACAGAACACTTTCTTTCTAATCTGAAGGTTTAGATGCTGTATTATAGTTGCCAGTTGGAGATACGGTCGTAGCCCAATTACACATTACAAGACGTG